AGGGTGACTTGAGCCAATTAAAAAAAATTAACAATTAGCTAAAGTATTGAAGTCTAGGAGCAAAAATTTGGATCAATTTCCCCTCGCCCTATACAGATCGGGATAGACGCTAGACAGAAGCCATCACAAACCTTGACAGAAGAAAATATACGATCGCAGGCTGTATATTAAAAATATCTCGTTCTATTATATGAATTATTGTCTTATTGCATTTTTGAAGAATTGAGTAGAAGAATGATGAAGTCATGTGTTTCAAAATAGATAGAATAAAAACATCGTCTGTAATAAGCAATAGCATCTAGATTGTATTTCATATTTTAATCGCACAAATAATGTGCTAACTACTTTTTTCAGTATTTCAAGATTGATTTCAGGAATCTTACGATTATTTTTTCATCTTTCTTGGTCATCTATTTAGTACGAAGATTCATAGTGAAAGATTTCAAATTAAAAGATATGCTTGGTCATATAATATTATTTTTTACTAGTATTTTTCTTAAATATTTTAATAATCAGTCAGTACGTAGTAAATCGTATACTATGTTCTTATTATTTGCGTAACTCTTTATTTATAAATCGTCTAGATTTCTATGTTAGTTTATGTACTATTTTCATTTGATCATTTTCATTAATTTTGTGTCAATTAGACATAGTGCTTGTTACTAAAATATTCATATCTAGCATGAAGTTATAACATATGTTGTCTTTTATACGTTTAATAAGCCTGCAGTCAAGTTCATTAGAACAAAGTGTTTAGTATACTTTACGAATATCATCAATGAAAATATGTATATCAGTTTAAGGAAGATGACATTCTTTGCTAAAGGATAGAACAAAAGTTTTGAATTCATTTTGTCATTAATATAACATTGCAATGAAATATTGTAAACACTTGACCTATGTTTTGTTGGAACGAGCAATAAGTGTAGTACAAACATGTATGACAGCATTCGATCTCAAATGTTTTCCGAAGATCATAAAAATCTTAGAAAAAAAAAACTACCAAAAAATTCTTTCGTAACTTTTTTGAAGTTAGAAAAAACTTTACTCAATAAGAAAGCTTTTCTTTTTATTCTTCTTGGTTAAGTTTCATAATGTTAAGATAAAGAAGTATAACTGTACCAAATAGACAGAAATTCTAAGAGTTATCCAACATCCGATATTAACGTTATTATAGCATCTTCTAGTATTACTGATTTTTCTCAAAAACTAATCATAATACAATAAAGAACTTTTACTCGGATATAAAACTGGTTAGAAGATTTATATCGATTATAAAAGAGGATATTTATCACGTCTTCTACTAAGCGATATCCTTTGGAATATCGTCCACAACTTCTCTGTGAAATATTTGAACGAAACTTTTTTTTTCTTGATTATAGAGCTCGAATTGATTTTTTAATTAAACCATCTGTTGTTCAGTCTCTTGTACGCTAGATCAATGATTTTAATGTTACACAAAAGTCGTCTTTCTTAGAAATATTATTTTATAGTATTCATCAAAACCTATTAACACAAAAAATTTTCATTTATCACAAGTTCTGTTTTCCAATAATAACGAGCGAAGTTCTTCAACTGTTTAATCGCTTTTGAGTTGAAACTATGATACTTTTCCGATATTTTTAAATAAATGTCATACTATCCTAGGAACTATCAGAAAAACTGATTTTCAAATTTCGACTTAAAACTTTGCATAAAGTCCAGTCTTCATGAGAGTATTCTATTGTGAAAGATTCAAGTGTTCTACTTTTATTTTATCCTGCAATAAGAACATTAAATCTACTGGCTAATATAAGTGATGCAGAGATGGAACCAGTCTGAAATTTTCACGAACGGTATCGATTTCATCTATGGATTGATGTAAAAGATACGAGATTAAAATAGTTCTATCTTAAAATAGAAACAACGACAAGACCTAACACATTCACAAAAGACTATTCTTATTAAGGTCAATCTCTATACAAAGTTTCAAGTCGAAATTCTAACATCAGTTTTTCTAGATCATTATGAACTATATTAAGCATATAGTCTAGACTCAAAAGCGATTGAATAGTTAAGGACTTTTTTTTCGTCAGTTTCAAGCGTAAAAAAGTTTAAGTTTTAAAGTAACGATTGATAAGTATTAGTTAGTTAGAATGATTTGATACTACTTCTAATAGTTTAGCATATGTTAACTTCTCTTGGGCGATGATATGTGTCAATAAGTAAGAAAAACAGAATTTCTATCGCCAGCAAATAGAAAACTGTAATCATTGTGTGGTGTGCTTTTTTGTTGCGATTCTTCAATTTTTACGTGTTTGTTGTGTGATAAATTAAGTTGCTATTTTTGTTTTTATTTTTACAGCATGAGTAATTACTTTTGAAAAAGTACATGCCGTAGGTGGTAATATTCGATCCGTTTATTTTTTCATTCTCTTTTTTATGATGTCTGTACAAAACTAAAGAAAGTTGAAAAAATACGTTAGTTATATCATATTGTGTGTTTTATTCGTTTGCATATGTCATACGTTTCATGATTTACGTAGTTTGAATGGAGAGCAAATAAAATACACGAGCAGAATTATTGCAATACATGTGATTGCCAATTTTGAATGTTTCGAACGATTGAAGCTTTAGTTGAATATTTCAGTTCTTCTCTTTTTCTTTTTTTCCGTTTCTACATATATATATATATATGTGATTGCGGTTGCATACGATCTGTTTATTTAACAAGCAATCATTAAAATAGCGAAAAACTAATAAATATTGGATATACATATAGAGAGAAGTATGAAGAGTAACAGATGATAGTGGACATGTCAATATACCATATCGTCCAGTAACAGTGTATTGGACAAATAGCTTTTGTTGTTATACATAGATTCAAATAATTTTATATATATACTGTGAAAGGAATCTTATTTTTTCAGCAACATATACAAAGAGAAAAAACTTCTATTCGTATTGACGAAACGAAGAAAAAGATACAGAATAAGTTATTGTATATATCTTGGCATATACTGACGAAAAATATATTATGCTTGTTCTTTGTATGCTTTCATCCATAATACACCATATAGAATGACTTTTTTCACATGATATTTCAAGAACTATACAGGTAGAACGAATCAAACTTTATAATATTCGATTGGTTGTATATTGAAGTAACTTATTTGACTTTTGTGTTGACCGTAGGTTATCAATTGAAACATTGTTTGTAATAAATAGGTTTTCAATGAATTATCACAAGTTTTTCGTCTAATGGCATCTCTACCTCTTTCGTGATCCAAAAGTTTTGTCTTTTTGTGACCATTGTATAGCCTGAAGTAGTGTCTATTTACTGAGTACAAAAATCCCTTTTAACGTTAAAAGTTCGAAAAGAAACCAAATTAGCGAAAATTATATTGTTTCGCATTTTTTTAAATCAACTTTCTCATGAAAAAAGTTTAGAAATGTTCCTCAGTTCTCTGGGCTTGAATGTTCGATCGAGCTGAAACTTTTCCACATATACTAAAAACGGTAATTCAAGAAAACATGTGTTTTTTAGGGTACCCTCGATATTTTGGCTTTTTTTATTCCAAAGACAAATAAAAATATCCACCTCAAATAGTTTTGTGCCTGTGAAAAAGTTTTCAATTTGATTGAATATAGTATCTCGAAGAAGTACGGAGACAATATTTCGCCACTGTGATCCTAGTATCTTATAGAAGAAAGCATTCGAGATGACAAGTTCTCATGCGATTAAATGACAAATTTCTGTATTCGACCAATCGAAACAATGAAAATCATATATAGTAATGATATATTACAACTCTAGATAACAATATGAGTCAATATTGTCAGATGAAATTATCAAACTATTTATTCATGTAATACAAACACATTTTATTGTAACTTAACGAAATCAATAGCAGGTACTTGTATTATTGCGGCAGAACTGCTAAGGCAGCTAAATAAGGTTAGATTATTTTATTTTCGATCGCTAGTAGTTAACTTCATTATGAGTTGATCATACAAAGTTATAAATTATGACGATCACACATTATGATGACGGTTACACAATATTACAAATTAAAGTATATGCGCTTGATTTACTTTTCAATTTGAACAGGCTCTATCTACATCAATCACATTTTAATATAAACATTAGAGTTAAATAGCATTGATTAAAAGGTTTAGTTGCATTTTTCTCAGCTATTCATCAGTATGGAGTGATCAACGGTACAAATAACTGACCTTATTGTTTAGAAAAAAAAAAGAATACACTTACATGCTAGTGATTTCTTTTCCTTAACACAAATGTCAAACAAGTAACATGTCGACAATTACTTATAAAATAACTCGAATAAATAATAAAGAATTATTTTATCGATTTCAATTTCAAAGTCCTAGAAAAGTATCGTTTTAAGTTTTTCAAAAAACCTAATCACATATATTTCATAATCATTCATTATGTCTTTCATCATAATTAGTAAAATGTAAGCATTCATTGTTTTGTTTTCGCATCTTTTTTCTAGCTATAAGTTATTTTCTGTCATGTTTGGTATAATTAGTTCTCGTAAAAACAACTTAAGCTATAATTTCTGCTGCATACACCTTTATGTTGCACTATGATTTGTTTGTTGTTGTGTAAAAAATTAGAACAATACCTGTCTTTTCATGCACAAATTAAATACAGTTATTTTCTTCTTTTTTCATATATCCAATAATTCTTCACCTCTGATTCTTTCATATTTTCTTCCTTTTTCTTTTTAAATTGGAAGCGGTAAACATTCAAAACGAAAGTACAATCAACAGTCTATGTCGTGAAAACGGCTTTTTTTGCGAGTTTTATTCGTTCTCTGATTCATCTATTGACGTGGAACAAATAAAAAAAAAAACATACAAGCAATAACAATTTTGTGTAATGGTGGCACTGTGCATAAACAGCTACAATCTTGAAGGAAGAAATGTCAACTAAAACATCACGAAAACCGTTGAAGAAATGCTAAAGACACGAACGTAACCGATTGATTCGAACAATGAAAACCATACGAAGTAGTCATATGTTACAAATTTTTATAATTATTTTACTAACTCTTGTCAGATTAAGTTATCAAACTCTTTATGCATGTAATGCAAGTGCATCATGTGGTTGCTCAAGGAATTCTGCAACAGTAAGTCGTATTGTTGGTGGAGAAACTGCGAATTCAGCTACATGGGGTTGGGCTGTCTCAATCTCTATAGCTAATAGTTATCTTTGTGGTGGATCGATCATATCAAGTTCATGGATTATCACAGCAGCACACTGTGCAGAAGGTTTTACAGCATCCCAATTCAAAGTCTATGCTGGATCAAATATTCGATATTCTGGTACTCAAACTCGAACTGTGTCAAAGGTTATTCTACATTCCGAATATAAGTCAGCAACCTTTGTAAATGATATTACACTGTTGAAACTTGCCTCCCCATTGGATATGAGTGATCCTTATGTGAGATCTATTTGTTTACCATCAGTTAGTCAGGCAACACTATCAGCTGGTGAATGGCCACCAGTTGGAACAAATGTAAGTGTTCTCTTGTCTTCGAAATTGATTCTTATAATATTTATTATTAGGTTGTAGCTGTTGGATGGGGTAGATTAAGTGAAGGTGGTTCATTACCATCAACACTTCAGCAAGTTACTTTGCAAACCGTAGATTATCAAGCATCGACCTGTACTCCAACAATGAAAGATTGGCATGTACAATTTTGTGCTGGTGTATCAGGGGGTGGCAAAGGTAACTTTATTTAATTGTATCTCTCTCTGTCTCTTTATACATTTTTAAAAAATTTCAACTCTGTAGATACTTGCCAAGGTGATTCGGGTGGTCCATTGATGATGTTTAGCTCAAACAATCAATGGATATTGGTCGGCGTGACAAGTAGTGGTATTGGTTGCGCAGAGGCTGCCTATTCTGGAATGTATACCCGAGTTGCTGCTTATGAATATTGGATAAAATCTAATACAAATGATTCCACTTCAAGCTCGATTTCATTGCCCTCTTCTACGTCATCGAGATCTACTACTTTATTGCCCTCTACTACGTCATTGAGATCTACTACTTCATTGACTTCTACTACGTTATCTAGCTATAATCAGGCAAGGGATACATCAACGTCATCTCCTGTGATTCATTCACATGCGAACACAGTTGAAGCATCTACTTTTAATGTTTTTGTTTTTGTATTATTCACATTTCTCATTGTATCCTTCTATTGCACCCAAATGTGAAACTTTTCGTAATATACATGTATTCTTGGTTTTCAACAAAAATAGGTTTATATAATGAACTCAATCGAATTCAATATATAGCTTCTAGTTAACTTTCATTTCTAGGCTATACCTGTAACGGTATCTGAGAAGTTCAAATTTCTGTCTCTACACGTCAATATCAGTATTAGATCGTGTTTCCCAAAAGAGGAACGGAAAAAGACGTTCGATCACAGGTGGAACAACTAACTACCTGCCTACCTTATCATAGGTTAAAAAAAGATGAAATGAAAAAACGATATTTTGGTTCATTCTGGACATAAATATTTAACTTTGCTAGGTGTGATCGTGATATCTGCACTCTTGTTCTCAGACTTTTTTCTTCGCCTTTCAATGGTCTATTATCACGAACACTAGTAAACGAGAAAAGTTAGTCAAGTATGAGAATAGTTATGTGTATGAAAAAAAAAACTTGCATGTATTTGGTAGTAGAGAAGACAAAGTAATTGGAAGAGGAATGAAAAATAAAGAGAATGCAGACAGAAAGTTAGAGAACATAAAGTGACAAAAGTAGTTCATGTGAATCAGTAGTGAGTATGATCTATAGCATAATTGTGTGCGATTTTGTCTCACAATTTTCATTATTTATGTAAATCTACAATATTGAAATAAATAAGACTACGAGACAATAAATGACAGTTAACAATTTTTTTTATATCATTTCTTCTTAGAAGAAGGCTAAATTTGTAACTGACATAGTACAAAATTTGTATGTAGAGAATAGAGAATTACTGATTTTTTATTTTTATTTTCTCTCAAATTTTTTTCAAAAGTAACGAAGCTTTTCTAGACCAAGTAATCGCTTTATATAGGTCTATTGAACTAAAACTGTCTTATTGTGTCAACATAAAAAGATATAATTTTGTTACCACATTTTAATAGAAAATCACACTTATAAAATGTGATACTTGTAGTTCAAATGAATAACTAATTCCTATATTGAACAAAAAACAATTTGAATGTACAACATAGAACAAGATTTTATTTCTCTTTTATGGTCACAATTGAGTCTCTTCAAAAAGAGTAATGATTCGGTACTGAGATTCACATTTAAGTCTAAAAAAAATAACATACTTTCAAGCATACAATCAATCAATGTTCTACTGTAAACTTCAGTTTTCTCATTTTAAGCTTCTGCATAAGTATTAGTCGAAATTAAAAATTAAACTTTCAGTTATTTTAAATATTTGGCTACCCGCTCGATATCGGCAGCCTTCTAACTTGAATTGTTGAATTCTACATCACATACATATTCATGTTATGATGAAAATCTCAATGAAAACAAAGCAAACATGAGATGCTGATTAATTAATCTATTCTAAATAGTCAGCATAACTTGTACATGCATCTCTTGTTTAAAAAAACAAGCTTTTCATCTCTGTATACAACTACAGGTAGTCGAATAATGTGACAATATAAGCATTAACATGTTCGATCTTTAGATTTTTTTACCGTTGTAAAACTCTTTTCTTTCACATTTGAACACAATAAAAGTATAATTACGTACATGCAAAGATTTATCTAGAAACTAAAGTCAATTGAAAACTGTATAATAGCACGAAGCTGCAAGAGTTAGAAATCAGTTTTCTTAAAAAACCAATTCGAATTAATTATTTTTTTTATGATTCAATCCCATATAGTAGACTATTATTTTGTCTTGTCTTCTATTGTTTTGAATCTGTTATTAAACAGAAAAAATTATTTAAAAGTGATCTCGATAAACAAAAGAATGGTTGCTTTTTTTGATAAACATATTAAAAATCTTAATTTGCTGTAATGAAAATATGAACATATAAAATATAAAATGAAAGGAAAATGCAAAATAGCTTAATTCAATTGTATGACTCGGTATAATCGAAAAAATGAAACACTAAAGAATTACTAATCATGATGAATTTGAGAAGAAAAAATGCATAAATGTGCAATGACTAATAATGGTTTGGTGTTTTTATGATATTTCAGCGTGCTTCTTCTTTATAAAATAATAAAAAATATCAGCTAAAATAAGTCCAAAAATAATTATAAAGATGATGTTGATACCAATTACAACCACTAATAGATTTTCGTTTGTTATTACTAAACAGTGAAATTCAAACTTATAATATATTCAGACATTTTATTCAAACGAACGTATTGTATTGGTAGTCTACCTGAACCTTACTTTTGTGTTATCAGTAATCACACCAATGATTTTCATATAAGGAGAAAATGATGTAATTTCGTACTTTTTGGATTACAATGCGAGTACGAGGATGCAGTGGAAGTACAAAACTATAGTGACCGTAGAGTGGAAGCCTGTGGAGTATAATAAGAGAAACGTTAAAGTACAGAAGTACGCCGTTGCCTTTTTGGATTTAGATGTAGATTTTTCTTTGTTATCAAACTGTACTTCGGAACTCCATACCCCACGTACTAATGTAATTCAGAGAACATGAAAGAACGTTGTTTTCCCTTGTCTTCGTGCGACACTGTCAAGGCCTATCAAAAGAGTCGGCTACTTATCGGACTTACTTTTGTCTGATAAAGTCTAAAATATGACAGATTCTCAACCAGGACTTAGGTTCTAGCTTCTATAATCATGTGAATGAATAAAATAAAAGACAGTTAGACACACAGATAATGTACGGTAATGACTTATTCGTACAAACGATAGATAAAGTTCTCTCGTAAAGCTAAGTTTAAATACATAGGTTATATATATATATATATATATACTACAAAGAGAGACTGACATGACCTCTCCTGTTTAACCCTTTGGGGACGGTTGGTCCCTTAAGGGGCCATGGTGATTCTCTGATATTCCAAAACACACAGATTCCTATATGAGATTAGTTTTTGTTAAAGCATTTATCAGAGAGTTTTTTGGTATAATTTGGATTGTAATTAGGTTATTTTATTCAGATATCCAGTAATAGATAATAAATATAACAAAACTGACTTTTAGAGAAAAAACTCTATAATCTAGAATCCTTGTCAGCAACGTTGCTCTCTATATAGGGACACGTTAGATGATGTTCTACATGAGTATTCTTTTTTCTTCTTCCCTTTTCTCTTCTTGAGGGTGTGGGTGGGTATGAGTTTGGATCTTCGCTTCACACACATTCACACCCACACCCACACCCTTGATTGATTTATGATGAAATATACAGAAAAAAAACCGTCCTCAAAGGGTTAAATAACATTGCAAAAAGACGATAGAAGCGGCTTATATTTGAAGCCTGTTTCAATTCGAACAGTGAATAATTATTAACATATCTGACTAGTTACAAGAGAACAAGCACTATTGCGCTTTGCTAAACAATCTTTAAATAGCTGTAAAGGATATGTTCCATATTCGACATTCGATCTCAAATCAAAATTGTATAATGACTTTTTAGTTGTGTGTTTCTATTTGTTCGATTCCTTTGCATCAATCAGAACTCTGACGAACATTATGATGATTTTGTTTTAAGATTTCATGTTCCTATTAGTTTGTATGTTACCTTTGCTTTTAATATTATTGTGTCATATAAATTTAATAATAGGGTTTTTGTGGATAGTTATTTTTCCATTTTGCTGTTGACTTGAATAGTAAGATTGAATTTAATGATGGTTTAGTAATGCCTAGTATTAGAAATGTTTCATTAGTTTATCCATTTTAATTTAAACTAAGATTTTAACAATTGTTTTTATATGTTTTGATTTTACTAACTTTTGGGAAATTTTTTTATGTTATAAAACAAACAAACAATCGACTTACTGTTAGGAGCGCTTTCGACTTCTTCCACGCTGATTTCATACATTCCTTTATATTGTGAACTTGGCTTTTTGCTAAGAACTTTGACTTTGGTACCCGGTAATAAAATCGATTCGGCTTCACCAGGAAATTTCGAAAAAATTGATATGTCTCTTGCTGTATAAGATAAGACCGTGTATAGAACACCCTTGTACTGCCCCATATAATTGGGTTTCGCAAATCCAAAGCAAACTGATGGTATGGCAGATAGCGATGTAACGCCCCACTAATAAGTAAATAAAAACAAAGTAGATAAATACATACTGATGAATAAAAAGAAAAGTCGTTTCTTTCTGTGTTTTGTTATTTGAATTCAGACATATAAAATTCAATTATCTTTTATAAATTTAAGATCATGTTTTGTTTTATTCATTGAAATATAGATTTTTAATTAGTTTACGTACCCAAGTAATAATAGAACCAACTTGATATTTACTACTTTGATCGATATTTTCTCCCCGACAATAATATCCTTTCTTTGGTTTCAATTTGCTGATAGCCATGTGAAAAAGTTTCAAATAAGAAAACCAAGGTTGAATATTCTTGAGTTGTTCACTACGAAGTGCTTGATTGAGAAGTTTATAAACGTCACATTGAGCAGTATACGCTTTTATTGCAGCTACTTCTTCTTTTACCAATCCATTTTTTTGATTAGATTCATATATGGCGGAAGTAAGACAGGACGGCATATGTTTTGCGAAGTTTGGCAAACGTCGAAATGCTTCTTTGATCGGAAGAGTTGGTACTTGCATATAAGTTGATCGAAGATTTGCAGGAGTCAATTGTTGACAAACCGTCTGTGAATATCATAAACGTGTTTTTAGTTAACCATTCTTAGGCAACAATACGTATAAAAATAATCAATGCATCTATACATTGTTTGTAAAATTAATTAGTTCTTGATTTCAATGATTTTATGAACCTAATGATATTCAGTTGAATTATAAGATGATGAATCGTGTCTTGAGTAGTCTACTATTATTTAGCTATTTTGCCTTTCATTACATAGTATAACTAACAAATTCTAAGATTTCTTTTATCATGGATGAATAATATAACTGATTTATTTCAAGTAGTATTTAAAGGTTTTCAGTACTACTTGATGAACATTCGTAGCTATGGAAAACAAAATCCATCAATCTTTAATCAATGGAGTAAGTATTCCATTTTTCTGAACGTGGCACTTTCCCAGGCGCTCAATATCTTTTGAATTGAAATCTTGTCCACAAGTAGAGATGTATAGTCTAAAGAGAGAGCCTTAGAGAATATGAGTACAAGGTACAATTCGGATGAGATACTGTCAATTTACTTTAGTTTTCCTATAGGTTCCACTTTTGCGATAGAATCGAAATTTCGAATTTTGATCTGAAATTTGTCCACATTGAGGCTTCAATCAGACGAACTTGCTTAGAAAGTCTCAGAATTTTTTTACACGTCATCTTCAGTATATGAATTTTCCAAAAAAAAACATGAAAAAGCTTTTTAGCACCTCAAAAGAGTCCTTTGTGAATGTATAGTATCTCACCTGAAAAGTTCAGTTCATTGATTTGAACTTATTAATTATTTAATACATTTCTCTGGACACACGAAAAAACTTAATCACTGTTTCCATATTGCAAAAAAACACTGAAGGAGATTATAATCATGGCTAATATTAATTTAATACTTGAATAGATTAAGACAAATCTTAACTGATGCTAAAAACATTTCAACAGTGCTGATTTTTTTTTGTAAAAGCTGAAAAGAAAACCTAGAATCTTCGATGTAAAGAAAAAAAATTAAACATGAAGGAAATATTTTTGACAGGAAAATAACGTTTTAAAGTCTATTTTTTGAGATACTACACATAGATCCTCTTCTGTTATAAATACTATTCGTAAAAGTAAAATTATCTAAACAGTTATCATAATTTTTTTTCTGATTACTTCGAAATAAAATATTGTTCCGACAATCAACATCATAATATGACTTTGTCATATTTTTCATTAATGAACATCATCGGTAACTATAAATAATGAAGAAAAGGAATTAATCTAACTAAGAGATTATTAAATGTATTTAGTTATAATCAAAATAGGTCAGTGTTCAAGAGTATAGGTACAAGATTTGCTCGACATCGTGTGCTTGTTAGCGTTAGGGTAACATTTACAATCAAATTCAATTATAACAAGTCACTTTGTGCATAAAATTGAATCAATCAGACATCGAATCCTTTTATTCGAAACTTGTTTTAATGAATATTATTTAATTAGTATGATGTGACACAATGAATACTTTGCTAGTGCATATCGGTGACTCATGATAACATAACTGTGTTTTTTCCTTTGAGTAGGCCACAATGTATTATTACATAATCATCGATCGTTGAAACTTCAGAAATGTACATTCGTGTCTGACTGAGTGCTGCTACTTATATTCGATAGTTGTGCAGTTCGTTTGATAACGAGTACTCACTTTGCTTGACGAAAACGTTACCTCACATTCCACTCACCGATAGGTAGCTACCAGCAACTGACGAGTGTCTTCTACCAATATAAAACAATTGTAAGACCGTGTAGATTGCCAAGGATATTCCTAACAAGCGATTTGTATCAGTTATTGATATTTCATTGAAAACCTACTATTTCATTATGTTGAATCCTACTTATTGAAAACATTAAAATTTTTGATAACAACAATGCGTGAGTACTGTAATACAATTGTAAAAGTTGCAACTATGCTAATTTTTCTTCTCGTAAAACATAAAAGTATCACATATTTTTGTATATAACACTATCAGTGATTTTTTTTCATTATAAGCATTTCATTGTGTATAGAGAAATGAATCTTTTAATTGTTGATTTTTGTAATAATGTATCTTTTAGCAACATATTGATAGTAAATATATGTTTGTTAATATTTTCAATGAATACATATTCAATAACAATATCTACTGATGAGTATATGGATCAATCAATTGATTAGTTTCATTTGATATGTTTGTCTTTTTTCTGATACAACCTGTCGTATTTGATGAGTATGATAAGATATTCAAAGAAAAATCATTCAATCGAAATAGTCATGTTCTTTTGTGATCAATTAAATTAGCTTGTTAATACAGCTCATTTGAGGCTGAAATGTGGAACTCACATGTGGTACTTAGCTTCATATTAATAATACAAAATATGCACAGTATGAAATCTGCAAAAGCTCATACTTTTTTTCTGACGATAATCAATTGTCAGCAAATGTCCTTCTTTTTATTTTTGTATTTCAAACAAAAATTCTATTTTTCCTTTTTTTTTGACGAGCACAATTTTTTATTTGTCTTGCCAGTATTCGATTGCTATTTATTTGCTTTCTTTCTTTTATTAAATTTTCACGACTTATTATGATTAGTCTAACTATTTATTTGATGGACAAATAAGCCTATTGTACACATTCGTTATATATACAGCAGATCTTAAAGATTTTTATATATTTCGAGGGATTCAGTAAGACTAAAATTGATTAATTTCAAAAGTTAGAACTTAACCATGTCATGCTTTTGTGATGTTTGTATAATAGTGGCGGAAAATCAAAACATTATCCTTGATATCTATCATATCATCGTTTATTTGCGCAAAACTCAGAAACTGCGTTACTTACAATATTGAAAAAAGTATTGAAGGCATTCAAATTTCAAGGAAGGCTCTGGAACTTTCAAGAACCTTCTAAGCCTTGCCGCCAACCTCGTTGAGTACTTTTAGTTCTGACTGCTGAGGTTTGTGATTGGGAAACAGAGCAACAAAAATTCTTGATTCGAAGTTTCTCTCAACATATTTTCTCGGGCAAATGTACGTGAGTTTCACAACAGTCTGAAATTAAAAAGAAAATGCATTAATTAATCAGTTGGCATTGCATTCAAACTATATTAGTGCTCTGTTTAATAATGATCTACTAAGGAAGTACATTATAAAAATGAAATCGTTTCTTTTTCATTATAGAAAGTCTGGCTTCAGTAGATTTCATATGCATATATATGTCAAAAATATTCGAAGCTTATTTTACTATAAAGGACCGCAATTGAAATAACGATAGGAAAAAAAATGTATGCCTACTTTTCGTACTTTTTATTAATCATGTTTCTTCATCTCTCACTTATCAGGTTTTTGTTACACTTTTTCATATTTTTGCCTGAGATTCATAATTTAGAGAGCGAAAGTGTTTGTTTTGCTATGGATATAGTATTTCTTTGCTTTTTTTTGTATTCATAATAAGATTAAAAAGTTCCTTCTTGCA